AAAAAAAAAGGGGGGCACTTTTAATGTGCGGTTCTAAGCATACATTGAACCAGAGTCCAAATATAATCTGTTTTTTCTTTTTTGTTGTTTTTTTTCCGAATTTAATATTATTTTAATGATTGCATTTTATTTTAATGATTGTATTTTATTTTAATGATTGTATTTTATTTTAATGATTGCATTTTATTTTAATGATTGCATTTTATTTTAATGATTGTATTTTATTTTAATGATTGCATTTTATTTTAATGATTGTATTTTATTTTAATGATTGCATTTTATTTTAATGATTGTATTTTATTTTAATGATTGCATTTTATTTTAATGATTGTATTTTATTTCGAACATCTCGGATTATATCTAAAGAATTTCCTTTTTTTTTTTTTTCTTTTTCATATTTACTGGCGGGAAAAACAATGACTTTTGCTATAATTTCCTTTTATTTATCTAAGATATCCCAAAGTCTGTATCGAAATAATTCTACTAAACTGAACGGAAATTATAAGAAAAATAAAATCCTCATTTTCATTCGAGACGCGAAAACTGTCAACATCATTGCCGAAAAGGGCTACTTGGCTTTTGTCGAGTTGGTAGCGAAGGTGAAAACGTAAAAACGCCATTTGTAGCTTGTTGTTCGGTGACGTCATCCAGTGACATCACCGAGCGGTCAGCAGTAATGGCAGATGGCTTGGCTGCTTACAAGAATAGGATCAACTGTGTTAATAACGACGGTCAAGTGAACTGGGAGAAAACTTGGTCTCGACATCGGTTTCGAGGCAGAAAAATGGCCGAAGGGAAATGAGAAAAAGAAAGAACAAATATAGATATATATATATATATATATATATATATATATATATATATATATATATATATATATATATATATATATAGAGAGAGAGAGAGAGAGAGAGAGGGATTAAGAATGAGAAGACAAGGAGCAGCACGGTACCGATCGATCTTACCAATATTATTCTACAGTTCTTTTCAGTTTCCCTCATTCTCTCTCGATCAATCAATCGATCCACTCGTCAATCAATCAGTCAGTCAAGGATTCATTTAGACTAGCGCTCTGTGTGTACATTAATGGTAGTGCACTGTTGAGCGTGTTATTCTCACAAAAACGTTGACAGCGGGTTCAATTCTCGCCAGGGTAGTTTGAAAATGATAATTAGCGTTATATTTATCCGCGACTTTATCCAGACTACGTTTATCTGTCGCAGATTCTCCTTAAATTTGTCAATAAGCGTTTCATTATATCTATCAAATACTCAGCAGCTTACTACACCTATCTATATGGATGTGTGGAGCTATAACGGCTCGGAACCCAAATTGTGTTATATTCTTTCAAGATGTGGGCGATCAAGGTTCTCCATTACGTCCTATCTTATGTTGCTATACTTGGGAAAGGTTTTGAATCCCTCTCCTCCTCCTAGCTATGGGTTAACTAGTAGGAATTTTACGTAGAAAAAAATTATTGTTAGCCTAAAAAAATTGTTAATGCAATATTCACTAGCAAAAAAAAAAATTCTTACAATGTTTCGGCTAGAAAATATAGCATAAGGGGTTGGTAAGCCATAAAATACAAATCAAGCAACTATCTGTCTATGTATATGTGCTTGACTTAACCTGGCTAATAATGCATGTCGGAAAGGGGAAACTTTTTTGTCTTTCTTGTGGGTGAGGGGCTCCTACATACCTTGAAATTCAGGATTTTTAAAACCCTGACTCAAACACCATTCATTTTCTCCGGTGCGCTATATATATATATATATATATATATATATATATATATATATATATATGCATATGCATGTGTTCGTTATTATAACGTGCTACTAGATTGGCATCTTTGTTCCACCCATTTACCGTTGAAATAGTTAAATGTAACCGACACTTCTACTCTAACAGTTTTTTCTTGCACTTCTCGACAGCAGAACTCCCTTCCGCTTACTTGCTTCACTGATAATTACAATCTTCAAAAAAATTAAATGCAACGTCAACCGCCTTCTTCTGTTGACTTGAACCCCGTTTATCTTTTAACCTTTCCTCATACCCCCTATATCATGTCTTTTATCTCACTTTCACTCACTGTAACCCTGTGTAGCTCTCCCACCTTGCTTGGGGTGAAATGATTAAAAGAAAAAAGCATATATATATATATATATATATATATATATATTGATGCATGTTTTATTAAATAATATAGACAAGTTTTGTCTATATATTTTATGTAAATTCTTTTCATATCGTATGATAAGCTTATTAACATTATCATTAAAAGACGAAACAAAATCACCACAGTGATATATATTTTTTTAATCTTATCTAAGCTTTCGGCTAACATAAGCCATTATCAAAGATGACAATTACATTACAATATATTAAACAATACACGGACATAACAATAATGATAGTCTGTTTTTGTTTGCATGGAAGATTTCCAAGCAACGACAAATTCGTGCATACGAGACGCTGGAAGCGAAAATCGCCCCGCAGCTCATGACATCACACATGACCACGCGAGAGTAAAAACGGGAAGTATTATGTATGGGAAGCCGTTGGTATAAACCAATAGCTTCTGTTATAAATTATAGGTATTTAAGAATATTTGCAGAGATTTCATAGTTTATTTTTTTCAGGTTAGGTTTCAACTGTTTTATGTATATAGCTTCAAGAATTTTTAATTTTTGTTTATTGTTTTCATGCTTAAGTATAGTTGTGTTTTCAACAAGGATTTTCCGGAATTGTGTATGCGGCCAGGCATGTTGTTTTAAATGCCTAAAAATGAATGTATATAGGGGAGGAGATACGTGTGTAATGATTTGTTCAAGTTAATCGATGAGCTGATCCGTTTTCTATTGTTTCTCTCTCGTCAAATCATTCAATTGTCCAGTCGATCTTTGCATCAATAAATCGATTTCAAACTCTGCTCATAATTTTTTTTTATGTATCTATTTATTTCAATCTGTTTCCAATTACTTTCTCGTCTATCTACCAATCCCTGTCTTTTATCTTTAATATCGCGTTTATTTCATCACTTGCAGGTAATTCAGGTAATTTTTCTTTGCTTGAGTATCTAGCCAAGTCTCTAGATGTGATCCTCCCCACCTATACGTTGCCTTGGCTGCCTCGTCCTTCAAACTGAACAAAACAACCCTCTCTCCATACTCATGGTGCAAAAATTTTGCTCGTGAACTGAAATGCACATTACGTCAGTCCCTAGTGGAAATAGACATTGCGTCAGCTCCGATGGGGAAATGCACAGCGCGTCAACTCCGATGGGGGAAATATCCAACTGGTTAAGTGGAACACCTAGCACGTAAATCTGTGGCACTAAACAGAATATTTACTGTTGTATATTATAATTCATCATGACAAAACAGGTACATATTAGCACCTGCATTCAATTAATTAATAAATTGGGAAATTATTATTATTGTTGTTTTATTATTTAGAAATCTTTACTCATAAGGTTTGATTGATTGATTCATTTTTTTATGTCTTGTCAAATCTTTGCAGGTTTTTTAAAGCTAGAAAATATTTCAGGACTGTAAGAAATTTTTATTCGATAATAATGGTTTTAGTAAGACTTGTATTCTGTTTTGTGCCACAGATTTAGTACAAGTCTTAGAAGGAGGCGCGGTGGAGAAATGGATAACGGCTCGGATGGAGGAATCGGATTCCAGTCAAATCAATTACATTCGTGCTAATACCCTTAAGAAAGGTATGAATCCTCTTCTTCTCCCACCAGCTATGGGTAAATAGCAGGTCAGACCGGGTTCTATAGCCTTGGATGGCAACTGGTCTACCGCAGAAAGAAATGACAACCTACTGTGGGAAAAAAATCTGCCTCGTCAGTTATATATCGAAAAATACATGATCTCCTATGCGTGTATCACGCATAGCACATAACTGACTGAATACAAGTGTTAATAGTTAACCCATAGAAGGAGGAGAAGACGCAGATCTATACATTTCCCAAGGGTATTTGTGCGTAAGTGAATATATTAAAACCAACGGGAATTAGAACTTGCTTGATTGGTTTTCTAATATTTATCAAAACTTTGCAGATAATTAAAGCCATAAAATATTTTTAAATTCTTGTAATTTTCGCATTTTTAGTCGTATTATTATGCATTCAATTTATTTCATTTAATGATTTTATATCATTGACATTTATATATTATTGATTGATTGATTCAAATTTTTACAGTTTATCAATCCTTTGTTGATTATTTAAAGCCAGCAAATATTTTTAAATCGTATGAATTTTCTATTAAGATAATAATGATTTAATGTTACAAGTCTTACTAATTAACCCATAGTTGGGGAGAAAAGAGGCGGATTCATGCCTTTCCCAAGGGTACTTGCGCATAAGTGAATATTACGAACAGAACTGGAATTGGAACTCGGTTCTCCAATTAACAATTCTGAGTCATTATTCATTACACCACCCGCACATCCAAGCTACAGCATCTGGTATTCTTATTCGGTTACCCATCTAGGTACTGACCAGGCTCAACGTTGCTTAACTTGAAACAGCTACTATTAGCCTTAACGTTACCATTATTATTAACACTAGTAATTATGCTTAACTATTATAATTTTTATTATTTTTTTCATTGTTATTCAAACTCCCTTCTTGAAACTTTATGATCTTACTGTAATTATTAGCGTTTCATAGAGATATTTATTTTTAACTTTAGTACATTTTCCATAATAAAATAATTAGTATTATTGCTAGTATAATTACTGTAACAATTAGTAAGACTAATTATTAATTATAACCATCTTCGATCGTTACTATTTTCGCTAGTCTGATTTTTTTTTCAGTTGCAGCTGTCACACTTAATAGAAAAGACGAAAAAAAAATGCGCAGTTTTTTTTTCCCCGCCACTAATCATCAATTGCCTGGTGGCGTCGATCTACACGATTTGACATCTCATCATATTTCCAACTTGGCGGTTTTCGGGAACGACGCCCTCTAGCGTCGACCCATGTTTCGCTCCATCGCTTCTTCCCTACACCATCTATATTTCTACACACCCGCGCATGCCTCTCTTCTCAGACGCAGCGCTTGTTTGTCATACTGTGATGCAAGAGCTGGCGACAGGGAAGAAAGTCCAAATATCTCGAATAAAAAGATGCTGTGACATAAACAACCCTGGGGGCTGGCAATGGGCTTGTTGACCCACGGGCGATGCGAAGGTTCACCAAAGAAATGCATTGTTGACACAAATGGAGGTGCGAGTGAATTGGAACTGGAATGAATAGAAGTGGGGCACATATGATCATCATAAACATCATAAACATCATCATAAAGATGTAAGACTTCCACTCTTAGTAGCTCGTTCTTTCTTCTCCTTTCCCTGTCTCTTATTTTCTGGCAATCAAGCTAGCTTTTCTGAGTCACTGTACATTTCGTTGCTTTCTTACTTTATATTCTTTCTTTCTTTCTTTCTTTCTTTCTTTCTTTCTTTCTTTCTTTCTTTCTTTAGAAAGAAAGAAAGAAAGAAAGAAAGAAATAAAGAAAGAAAGAAAAAGAATGAATAAAAAAAAAGAAAATCCTTTTTTCTGTCTTTTCTTTTACCTTGCTTTTTTGGTTTTCTTTTACTTTTTTCTTTTCGCTTTCCGCGAAAGAAAGAAAAAAAGAAAGAGAGAGAGAGAGAGAAAGAAAGAAAGAAAGAAAGAAAGAAAGAAAGAAAGAAAGAAAGAAAGAAAGAAAGGAAAATAGAAAGAAAAAAGGGAGAAGGAAGAAGAAAGTAAAATCCTTTCTTTTCTTTTGTTTTTCCTCTTTGAGAAAGAAAATATCTTTCTTTTTTTCTTTCTATCATTCTCTTTCTTGATTTTAATTCCTTTTACTGATTTCCCTACGTTTTTCTCTTATCTTCTTTTTCTTTCTTTCTTTCTTTCTTTCTTTCTTTCTTTCTTTCTTTTGCTTTTATTATTTTTGTCTCTGGGCCATTCTTTCTTTTTTTTCGTCCTTCTTTTCTCTCTTGCTTCTCACTTGATTTTATTTCAGACTTTTACTTGAACATAATTCTTTCTTTTTTCTTTCTTTCTTTCTTTCTTTCTTTCTTTCTTTCTTTCTTTCCACCTTTTCGTTTCCTGATTCTTTTTAATTTTTTCTTCTGTTTTTCTTTTCCCGCTTTCTGAAAAAATCCTTGTGATTTTTCTATCATCCTATTCCTCCTCGCCCCAAACACTATTTCTCTTCTCCGCCATCTTGTCTAGTAAGTCCGCAGCTCATAAAATCTGTGATGTCGAAATGATTTTTATCGATAAATGTGAGGTCGTACTGTGTATAAACAAATCTTGTCACTCAAATAAATAATATACATATATATAATATATACATATATATATATATATATATATATATATATATATATATATATATATATATATATATATATATATATATATATATGGGGGAAGAGTGTTCAGTATGTCTATCGTTATAGCCAATGTGGACATAGAAATCGACATTGCATAGTTACTGTCAGTTCCACGCCTCAAACAATCTTCAGACCATGTATCACTACTACCTTGGTTCTATATATTCGCTTCCACCCCGTGTTTCTCTCTCTCTCTCTCTCTCTCTCCCCCTCTCTCTCTCTCTCACCCTCTCTCTCTCTCTCTCTGATTATATATATATATATATATATTGGGAGAGAAAGAGAGAGTGAGACGCAAAAATAATTCGTAACATATGATTTGAAGAACCTTCCCGGCGTGAAACTGACACTCACTATGCAGTACTGATTCCTATGCCCATGGTCTCTCTCTCTCTCTCTCTCTCTATATATATATATATATATATATATATATATATATATATATATATATATATATATTATGAAATGGGCTAAGTTCTACAATTATTTTAATGTATTTTGTTTATTCGTTATTTTTATGGATACAAATATTTAAGTAAATGCTTTGTTTATAATAAGCAGTATTAACAACATTTACCGGCCTGAATGTCCGAGAAATTTTAATAAAAAAATGTGTGTCCTCCGACAGGAATCGAACCTGTATCCTACACGGAACCGTCATATAGCGTTCGAGAGAAATTATTGGAAATTTGTAGTTATGTTCTTAATATTTTTCTGGACCTGAATTATGTAAAATTTCTGCATAATTTAACTCCAGAAAATAACAAGAAAAATTAGATAAGAAAAATTAAATAAATCTTAACCGCAAAACCTTTTTAGTCATTTTAACGAAACTTGTAATATATATATATATATATATATATATATATATATATATATATATATATATATATATATAAAATACCAAATCGCCAACCAATTCGTTAAACCATACATCTTACTTATTATAAAACGCAGATTGTGTGTGTGTGTGTCTGTACCTTTATATATTGGATCGGATTTCCTACATTTTTCAACTGATTTCAACAAAACTTCACAGAACTGCGTAAAATTACCTTGCGGTGGTTCTGACAGCGCCAAAAATTGGAAAAACACAATTGTTTTTGCACGAAATCAATTTGAAAACACGATTCTTTCGCCAGAATGAAAGGGGGGCAACTCATATCGAGTTATACTTATTATAAAACTCAGGTTGTTTGTGTGTGAGTGTGTGTGTGTTCATTTATATATGGGATCGGATTTCCTACATTTTTCAACCGATTTCAACAAAACTTCAATTTTTTTTTTTTTGGCAGGTAGTGTTTCTTATTGTCTTGCACACTTTTTTCTTTATTTTTACATTCAGAATGCTTTAAAAATTCTATTTACAATACAATTGTTTATAATAAAATTCTATTCAATCGATAGACTCATAACGATTGAAAACAATGTTTTTGTTTGAGTTTGACCAATTCGTAAAAAAAAAAAAAAACTAATTAAGACTTGCGTGTCCGTCAACCTTAAACAATAATCTTTGTCAATTTTATTTTTCAGTCTTTATGATGGTCGATACTTGATCTATCTCTTACTGTCACATCCCCGGGCAACGCCGGACTCTACTGCTAGTGCCTAATAAATACAGTATTAAATCAACTCACGAACTAATCCATAGCCTCACTTGATGTTGAAAGTTTATTTACCAACATCGCAGTTAAAGAAACAATTCATATAATTATAAAGAATATTTACAACAATCCATCTCTCTCTCCATTAAAAATTGAACTTAATATATTACGAAAACTACATTTGACTTGTACTACTGACGGCCCCTTCTATGACCATCAAAATAACATCTACGTACAACGTGATGGCGTTTCCTTGGGTTCAATTCTAGGAACAACATTTAGTAATTTCTGCGTGGCTAATCTTGATGGCTTGAGGTATTGATAGACACTAATAATAATATATTTACTACCCCTGTCTATATCTCTGAGATGAGGTATTATGATTATTTACATTATTCGGACCGTTATCCTCTTCTTCATTGCCATATCCACAACGTTTCGGCCGATTCAGGTGATTGGAATTTCGAACCGAACTCTTTATTTCAAACACTCGGGTAGAGTGTTCTAGTTCCACGTGCCACGCCTCTTCAGGATGTCTCATTTCCCTTTAACTCAACTTTCCAAGTTTTGGTTCACGACTGTTGTGGCTTGGGATTGAACTCACAACTCTGAGCCACAAAAAAATCTCCTTAATCAACCAAGAATAGAAATGAATACAATATGGGAACCAGTAATAAGGAGTGCTAAAGAAAAGCAATGAATAACAACAAAAATTGCAATATTAGCACTGGTAAAAATGGTTGCTGGGACATTAGGTTTATAAGTTCAGCAAATTCATACGCAGATGGCCCAGTGGATAAAGACGTTAGATCCAGGGACTAGACCCAAAGAGGAGGGGATGGAAAATGTGACACTGCAATCCGAAGTATCGTCTGAATAGCAACGAGCGCATTACAAAAACTAAAAAAAAATATTAAGAGACAGTAAAATGTAATTAGAAACAAAGAAACGTTTTCTCTACTGCTTACTAGGTAAGTCTGATCTAATGATGGTTTTCCCCAGGAGGGCGACAAGATTTCTCGGCTATTCAGGATGGTAGATGTAAATAAATATAATGTTTAATAAATAAATAAATAAAAACAGAGCATCTACTCAAATATGAGTATCCATTTAAAAATAAGATTTAAACAAATTTATTTATATTGTTTTTGTTCATATATATATATATATATATATATATATATATATGCAGCATCTATTCTTTTAAACATGTCTCGGTGAATATGACAGACAAGAAAAATTTGCTGAATTTTTTGTTTAGTTTCTCCAACATTCTTACAATTTTGTGTTTCGTAGGCGCAAGTAAGTGGAAAAATTGTTCGTATTGTCCATTGCCTCAAGGGCTTTCGGCCACTTCCTTAGCCATTAGCTAGAGGGTGGGGTTTGTTTTTAAGTGTCGTTAATTTATTTTCATGCTTGTATGGTTAAGATTTATTTTTTATACTGTTTGAATAGTATATATATTAAATAGATTACATATATATATATATATATTAGTTAAATTTCCTAGAAATAATTCTGAAAAAAAAGACAAATTGGTTTAAAAATGACAATTGGAAAAAAAATTCTTAGTTCTTGCTGATGGGATTCGTCTTCCGAAACTTATCAAGGCAAGCAATGAGAGCAAAATTTGTTGTAGCCATAGTTACATCAAATCCTATATTTAAAAAAGAGACGCTCCTGCGTAAGCCTCTTTCTGGATATTGGTATTGGTAACTTCCTTTTTTACTAAGAGTATGTTTTCCATGTCGAAAATATTGTTAAATTTCCCAGAAATAATTCTGAAAATAAAGACATTTCACTTTCATTGCTTGCATTGATAAAGTCAGAAGACGAAACGCGTCGGCAGGAAGTAAATGCTTTCCAATTGTCGTTTTAAGCCATATATATATATATATATATATATATATATATATATATATATATATATATATATATATATATATATATAAGTTTTAACTTAAGAAGAATTTCGCCTGCAGCCATGTATATAGGGCACGGATAAGGTTTCCATATAGTTTTGTCGGCTTGGAATTTTTACTTTTATCTTCTATATTTGTAGTTAGATTTTTAGGTTTTTTGCTATCGGTTATTATCCTTTTTATTTAGCCATTTTTATTTGCGTTCGTTTTTTGTTTGTTTGTTTTTTTCTTATTGTTTTGTAATCTTAGCATTTTATAAATTTATCTTCTTTCTTCATTTTGCACCTTTTTTTTTTCACTTTTTAATCTTAGAAAATGGGTTCTTTAGATATTTGTTAATGTATATCTTTTTTATCCCACATATATGCTATCATTATATTATTGTCATTTCAATGAGGTCCGCTATTGCAGGCAAACAAAATGGCTTCTGTAATCCTTATTCGAAGATAAAATCCTTCTCGCTCCCATCTCACTCCGTGGGTCTCTTAGATTCTCTTCTCTCCCTCCCTCTTTCTCACTCATCTCTCTCCCACTCTCTCCTTCCCCTCTCACTTATCCCCTCTCTCTTTCTGTGTTTATTTTCTCGATCCTTGATCCATTTTACTCTCTCTGTTATATAGCTTATCTACTCTCATTATTTTTATTCTTCTTCCTATTTTTTTTCTATCTTCTCTTTCTACCTCGTCTTCCGCTACTCCTCTCTCGGAATAATTTTCTCCCCCCTCTCCCGCCTTCCTCCTACTTTTTTTGTCCAATTTGTCTCTCTAATTTACGCTTAGCTTATCTCTACCACCGTCTTCTATCACCACCTCCCCTTTCTGCTTTCTGTTTCCTTTTAACGCTCCAACGTATACCTTTCGACTTCGCCTCTCTTTCTGTTTCTCTTTCCCTCTATCTCTCTACTTGTTATTCGATCCTTTTTCCACGCTTAGTTTATCTTTTTTAAATTACCCGCTCGCTCCCTGCTTCTATTCCCGCTCTCAACCCTCGCTCTTTCTTTCCTCTCTCTCTTTTACATACGATTCATATTTTCCTTCTTTTTTTTTCTATTTTACTCCCTTTATCTTTTTACCTTGCTCTCACTCACTGCCTCCTCCTCCTCCTCCTCCTCCTCAAGTCCGTCTTTTTCCTATTTTATCATTACAATTTCCCCCTGTTTAAGACCTTAGTCTAATTCATATAAATTAATTTACAGACCAGCAGATCACATTCGTGTTCAGTTTGCGTATTTGTCAAATAAAGAATCTGGTTGGAAGGGAAATCCTTGTGATTTGTAGAATATTAAATTTAGCCAGAAACTGTGAGAACTTTCCTTCCAACCAGGTATATGCCTTTTTTTTTTTTAATACAGAAACCAACAGGTGCATTGCAACTACACCTGAGATACCCTGCTTATCTGGATGTAGATTTAAAATACAAATCATTTCTGTCAACCCCACTTGCAAACAAACGGCTCATCAATCAGTCAGTTATGTGCCATCCGCGATTCAAGCTTAGGCGATCATGTATCTATCGATACATAACTGACAAGGCAGATTTTTTTTCCCGAAGTAGGTTGCCATTTCTTTCTGCGGTACACCAGTTGCGATCCAAGGCTACAGAACCCGGTCTGTCTTCCTGTTCACCCATAGCTAAGGGGAGTAGAAGAGGATTCATACCTTTCCCAATGGTATTACCACGTAAGTGAATTTAATAGATTCCACTGGAAAGTCAGTCAGTTATGTGCCATGCGTGATACACGCTTAGGCGATCATGTATCTTTCGATACATGACTGACAAGGCAGATTTTTCCCCGCAGTAGATTGCCATTTCTTTCTGCGGTAGAACAGTTGCCATCCAAAACTATAGAACCCATTCTGTCCTGCTATTTATCCATAGTTGGGGGGAGAAGAAGAGGATTCATACTTTTCCTAAGGATATTACCACGTAAGTGAATGTAATGGATTCAATTGGAAAGTCAGCCAGTCAATGATGTGCCATACGTGATACACGCTTAGGCAATCATATATCTTTCGATACATGACTGACGGGTCAAACTTTTTTCCCGCAGTAGTTTGCCATTTATTTCTGCGGTAGACCAGTTGCCATCCAAAGCTATAGAACCCAGTCTGTCCTGCTATTTATCCATATCTGGGGGAATAAGAGCAGGATTCATAGCTTTCCAAAGGGTATTAGTATGTAAGTGAATGTAATGGATTCGACTGGAATTCAAACTTGGCTCTGCGATTCCTCAACCCAAGCCGCTCAGTAGACGTACTTAATACAGTGCTTTTTAAAAAATGGAGCGTTTATTTCAAACACGAGTATCCGCTAAATTTGAACTCGGCTCTGCGTTGAAGAGAGAAGACACTGAAGATTTGCTCATACTCAGTAAACTCTTGCAGAGCCGCCAGTAGTCTCTAGAATTAAATTTACGGGAGGCTATACGGTATCTAAGTCTGTCAATGAACAGTGACTATGCCTCTTTGAGTACATGCTTACATTTATTAGGAGCAGTGACAAAGAGACGTCTGTTACAATCAGACCTGTCGCGCTGGTATAACTGGAAGAAGTGACTCTTGTGGGCTATAGCAGCTGAACAGACAGACAACCTAGGAGAAGATTGTAATTTCACTTGGTATTTCCATGCTGGAAGGAAAGCTTCGATGCCGACTTTCACCCAGGAAGAGACCTCAGTTGCATACTTCTCAAAAGGATGATTAAAATATCATTCAAAGGGGCATCGCGAAGGAAGTCACGAAACGAGTCCCAATCAGTGGGTTGATAATACAAAAGATGTTCTGTTAGTAAATGGTTCTTGCCTGATGGGAGGGCGGAAAGAGATGGCCATAGACACAACCACTTAGTCAGATTTACTAAAAGGACAGAGCTGCAGAGCATGACATGATTCCGAGGTGGAGGTACGGTAAAGATCAAGTAGAGAAGCGTATCCGTCAGAATTACCACAGAAACACATTGGTCTACTAATTACATTCGAACTGGTATCCTCATTTTATTTTTAGTTACAATCACAGAGTTTCGACATTGTGCCATGCATGCAGCCTTCTTCAGGTGTCTGTTGATCTGTGTAAACTTCAGATAATTTCAAACCTTTCGAAATTCGCTGAAGTTTATTCGGATTGATTGGCATTTATAAGAAGACTGCAGTGTATAAACAACCGAAGCGTCCTGATACTAACGGCAAAGATAAGGATATTAGTTCGAATATAAATAATGATAGCTATTCATCCCATAAGTTAAAAAAGAAAGAAGCGTTTCTATGGTTTTTTTTTCAATGTCTGACAAGAGTATTAAGAAACAGAAAAAAATCGTTAGAAACAAAGAAAAGAATACTGAACAGTCATCTAACATCAATCTTTCTATATAGCAGTGAATGCTGGACAATCTCCTCACAGATGAAGAATAGACTTAACATAAATTTGGTTCTAGAGAAGAATGCTCAAGAAAACAGTGGCTCCCACTGCTATGAACGCATTGCTCTTCAACTGAATTGAGCTCTCTGGGCCACTTGTGTATTTCGTATAAAAAACGTTCCCTTTCTCTCTACTGGGGGTAGGATCTTTGACTGATGGTTGTTAGGTCGGATTTCGATCCCGACTCGAAGTAATCGGACGTCTAGCCACAATGAAGAGCCGTGATACAGCGAAACAGTCTGTCAGTGGATGACAATATATATATATATATATATATATATATATATATATATATATATATATATATATAATATTCTGGTTCGATATATATATATATATATATATATATATATATATATATATATATATATATATATATGCGCCTATACTGCTTTTGGGCACGAAGAGACAGACGATCAGGCGATGTCAAATTTGATGCTTTCAAGCGAAATTTCTCTTGTCAATGATCTCTCGAAGTTTTTTCATATCTGCACGCAATTTTCGTGCTTTGACCTCTTGGCTACAGAGTGCGTTGATGAACAAGCAAAATTGAATAGTGCCTTTAAACACAAATCTTTCTCTGAAATTAGACACTGAAATAGCCACATCTTCTCAATTTCGTATCCTAACGTAAACGAAGCAATTTGTAAAGAAAGGGATGGATTTGTTAGTTGTTAATAAGACAGATTTTTATTACATAAACGTTATCGTTAGTGGATACTCGTATTTGAGTAGACGCTCTTTTTATTTATTAAACAGCATATTTATTTATTTTAGTCTACCGGCCTGAATATGTGAAAAATGTTATTCGATAAAAATATGCACTCTCCGACTGGATTCGAAACGGCGTACTCCAACGTGAGTACGCCATTAAATCTGACGTGTTTTGACCTCTCGGCTACAGAGTGCATCGAAGAGCAAGCAAAGTTGAATAAACACAGATTTTTCTCTGGCTCTTGAAATAGATACATCTGCTCAATTTCATATCCTAACAAAGCAAAACAAGTAAGTAATAAAAAACCTATCGGATAAATAAATATAAAATCCCCCCCACTTTCTTTAAAAAAAAAATAACATGTAGAGCTTTTAACTTTAAAAATCAGGAGATCAGTTGTATCCGCTACTTTGGTTTTAACCTTACGATATCCTCAGGTTATTTTTCAAATGACCTCTCAACGCTTTATTTTAAAAAAAAATAATGAACGCTATATTATTTTTTTTTAAAGAAGTAAATAAACAAACGGACGACGTTGGGTGTGATAGAAAGGGAGGAGGAGGATGTGAAGGCGAAAAAGAAGAAGAAATGCGGAGAGAAGAACAGTAAGGGTATTACAAATGTATCGGGTGCTGGGAGGTAATTGAAATTTACATTTTTTTTATCCAGCCTCATATGTGCGTTTGTTTATAAATAAAATAAAAAACGCCTTAGGATACTACTATATATATATATATATATATATATATATATATATATATATATATATAATAATAATAAAAAAAAACAAGAAAAAATATATATAAAAACAAGAATAAAAAAAAAAATATATATATATATATATATATATATATATATATAAGTGAACATAAAAGTCAACACTTAGAGGCGATAGTCTGTTTCATGCTAGATGCAATCGTTGGACCTGACGATTGCATCTAGCATGAAGCAGACAATATATATATATAATTATTTTTATAAAAAAATTTATAACATAAGTATGTTATAAAATCACTACAAAAATAGCCATTTTGTTTCAACACACTCTGTGTCTTATCAAGTGATGGTGTTGAAAAGAAAATAAATGGTTTTAAAAGTTTCATATATTATATATATTGGACTCTTCCACCGTATTCGACGTATGAGGGTCAACCGACAGCCTGATACCAGCACATATGATTTGATTATAGTGGTAAAGGCTTTGTGCAGAACCCACCACACTTTTTGAAGGGCTGAATACACAGACCTGGTGAACTACGTGCCACGATCTTCCGCGGGTTTGAATTCAGAGTTGTCCTTCTCCTAGACCATTTGCTAGCCTAGGGCATAGAACCCAGTCTGTCCTGCTATTTACCCATAGCTGGAGGGAGAAAAAGAGGATTCATACCTTTCCCAAGGGTATTAGCACGTAAGTGAATGTAATGGATTCGATTCCTCAATCCAAGCCGCTACCCACTACTCCAACGTGCCTCCTATCTATCTATCTATCTATCTATCTCACTCTCACTCTCTCTCTCTCTCTCTCTATATATATATATATATATATATATATCAGCAACGTAATAATTCTTTTGTGTTTCAGCTATATCTATCATTGTTAAAAGAAAAAACACAACTAATAACTTGCTTTAGGCGGTCAGGTTTTATTAGATACGCCATGTGTAACATGGATTTATGTTAATAAACAAATTCAAAAGTGTCTATAGAAACATATATTCAATAATTATAATATTCCATAATCTCTGAATAAATTATTTTACATTTTAATACGATCTCCTTGACATTCCAGAACCTTCATCAGTCAATTATGCATTGATT